GTATGTATGTATGTATGTATATACGTATATATGTATGTATGTGCGTATGTATGTATGTATGTACGTATATATGTATGTATGTGCGTATGTATGTATGTATGTATGTACGTATATATGTATGTATGTACGTATGTATGTATGTACGTATATATGTATGTATGTGCGTATGTATGTATGTATGTATGTACGTATATATGTATGTATGTGCGTATGTATGTATGTATGTATGTACGTATATATGTATGTATGTGCGTATGTATGTATGTATGTATGTACGTATATATGTATGTATGTGCGTATGTATGTATGTATGTATGTACGTATATATGTATGTATGTGCGTATGTATGTATGTATGTATGTACGTATATATGTATGTATGTGCGTATGTATGCATGTATGTACGTATGTATGTATGTATCTAATCTATTGCTCAATCGGTTTATAATCTCTCTATCTATTTTCACTATTTATCTATTTATTTGTGTATATATGTATGTATGTACGTATTATATGTATGTATATAAGTGTCATATTTATATATATTATATTTCGCATTTATTATTATTATTATTATTATTCTAATTCTAAAAACTAAAATAAAATAGCATACGATCCTTAAAAGAATTTATTTATTTTTTATTGAATTCCAGAAAAAAACAGAAAAACAAAAAACAAAGATAGAAAAAAATATATATATTTCTTTTATTCCAGAAAAAATACTACACACTTAAAGAAAAAAAATAACGCCAGAAAAATGAAAATAAAAAAAACTTATCATCATTAAAAGATGGCAAAAAAAAAAAAAAAAAAAAAAAATATATATATATATATAATTTTAATTCCAAAATCTAAAAATACCACACACACTTACCACACGATCCAGGCACGCCGTTAATGCCTCGAATACCAGGCAATACCAGTCAATACCAAGCAATACCAGGTAATACCACATACACTTACCATATGACAATGCCACGAATACCACGGATACCAGTCAATACCAAGCAACTTACCATACGACAATGCCACGAATACCAGTCAATACCAGGCAATACGAAGCAACTTACCATACAACAAAGCCACGAATACCACGGATACCAGTCAATACCAAGCAACTTACCATACGACAATGCCACGAATACCAGTCAATACCAGGCAATACGAAGCAACTTACCATACAACAAAGCCACGAATACCACGGATACCAGTCAATACCAAGCAACTTACCATACGACAATGCCACGAATACCAGTCAATACCAGGCAATACGAAGCAACTTACCATACAACAAAGCCACGAATACCACGGATACCAGTCAATACCAAGCAACTTACCATACGACAATGCCACGAATACCAGTCAATACCAGGCAATACGAAGCAACTTACCATACAACAAAGCCACGAATACCACGGATACCAGTCAATACCAAGCAACTTACCATACGACAATGCCACGAATACCAGTCAATACCAGGCAATACCAGGTAATACCACAAACACTTACCATATGAGAATGCCACGAATACCAAGGAAATAACAGGCAATACCAAGCAACTTACCATACGACAATGAATACCAAACAATACCACACACACACCCAACTTACCATACAACAATACGACGAATACCAAGAAAATACCAGGCAATACCTATCAATACCAAACAATACCAGGCAATACCACAAACACTTACTATACGACAATACGACGAATACCAAGGAAATACCAGGCAATACCACACAATACCAATCAATACCAGGTAATACCAAACAATACCAGGTAATACCAAGCAACTTACCATACAACAAAGCCACGAATACCACACATACCAAACAACACCACACAATACCACACACAACTTACCACATGATCCAGGCACGCCGTTAATGCCTCGAATACCAGTCAATACCAGTCAATACCAAGCAATACCAGGTAATACCACAAGCACTTACCATATGACAATGCCACGAATACCAAGGAAATACCAGGCAATACCAAGCAACTTACCATACGACAAAGCCACGAATACCAGTCAATACCAAACAATACCAGGCAATACCACACCCAACTTACCATACGACAATGCCACGAATACCAAGCAATACCAGGTAATACCAAGCAACTTACCATACAACAATACGACGAATACCAAGGAAATACCAGGCAATACCTATCAATACCAAGCAATACCAGGCAATACCAAGCAACTTACCATACAACAAAACCACACATACCAATCAACACCACACAATACCACACACAACTTACCATACGATCCAGGTACCCCGTTGATACCACGAATACCAGTCAATACCAGGCAATACCACACCCACTTACCATACAACAATACGACGAATACCAAGGAAATACCAATCAACACCACACAATACGACACACAACTTACCATACGATCCAGGTACCCCATTGATACCACGAATACCAAACAATACCAGGCAATACCAAGCAACTTACCATACGATCCAGGTACCCCGTTGAT